ATTGTAGACCCTTTGTCAGTGTCAGCCATGTGGATGAGTCACAGCCATTGCTTGGCCAATGTGCTCTCTGTGAAAGCCTGAGAGAATGTTTTCTTTCCATGTGACTCTCCTTAGGCACACTCTACATCATTGATCACTTTCCTCTTTGGCCCCATAATCTCCTTGATTAGAAAATTTGGGATACTACTGAGTTACAAGACATTATAGTACAAGTTCTCATATGTCCTGAGTCTTAATTGACTTTGGAAGGCTAGGGCCAAAATGTTGACTTTCCTTGTGGCCATCCTTTTTCTCTAATTTTGGTCTGCAAACTTAGGTTGTTAACCCCCCAGAAGAGAAGCTTATTGTTATTACCATACAACCTAGGCTGTTAAGCTTAGCCTCACTATCCTTCTGAATATTGAACATCTTAGGCATAACATGGAACAAGTATTTTTCATCAAATATTGATATGTTGAACTTTAAGTCCCTACAGAATATGATGAAAAAACATTTAAAAATTAAAATATATTTTAAAAATAGGCATAAAGAATTATGTACTTTTATATTTACACATTAGTCCAGAAATCTAACCATATACAATTTTGAAGGAGGATAGTCCCACAACATTCCTTTTCCTGTCTCCTGCCTTCATTCACCACCCCCTTCTTTTTGAACAATCATCTACCTGAGAGACAGCATAGCAGCAACTGGCATGTCATGACAAGCAGCCCGTATTCAGAAGACCAGAATGACAGGCACTCCAAGCATGAACCTACTATTGCAAATTGCCATCTTCAGTGCAGTTGCTTAGTTCACAGGTATCAGTATATACATTTAGTCAGGGTGAGAATCTTTCCAAATAACTGCTAGATTCAAAAATCTTCTGAAGATTCTCAGGATCATTGCCTTACCCATCTTCTACATATAACTGTATGGCTTGTGACTGTCATGTTTCCTAGCTCTTCTTCTTTCCCTCTCTTAATTAGTTAGTCCTTGAGTTTTTGCTTCTCTTTTACTTGTATTGTACCTATCTATCTGTATTTCTTCTTTTGAGTTCTTATACTAGGGAAATTATACACATGTATAATTTACACATGTGTGTCTGGTTTATTTCACTTATGAGTATACGTTCAAGTGGCATCCACTTCAATATAAAGGCTTCAAGTTTATCATTCTTTATAGCTGAATAATACTCCATTGTATAAAAATATCACATCTTTTTCTTCCATTCCTCAGGTGATGGACATCTTGGTTGTTTCCAAGATTTGGCTATCACAAATTGTGCTGCTATAAACATAGACACACATATATCACTATGGTATGAAGTTTTCAGATCCTCTGGGAAAATTCCCAGTAGAGGAATAGCTGATTTAAATGGGGTTTCCAGTCCAACTTTTCTAAGGAGTCTCCACACTGATTTCCATAATGGTTATACCAGTCTACATTCCCACCAGCAGTGGAGAAGTGTTCCTTTTTCCCCACAGCCTCTCCAACATTAGTTGTTGGTTGATTTCTTTATGATAGTCATTCTTCCTGGGGTGAGATGATATCTCAATGTGGTTTTAATTTGCATTTCATGAATGGCTAGTGATGTGGAGCATTTTTTCATATATTTATTTGCTTCTTTAATTTCTTCCTCTGAGAAGTGTGTGTTCATCTCTGATGCCCATTTCTGGAGTGGGTCTTTAAATTTTGGGGCCCTAGTGTTTTTTATTTCTTTATAAATTCTAGAGAGCAGAGCTTTTTCTGAGTACTTACTTGTCATGAATTTTTCCAAATTTGTAGGTTGTCTTTTCACTTTGTTGGTAACTTCTTTTGACATGAAAAAACTCATTAAGAGGAGGTCCCAGCTGTTAATTCTTTCAAATGTTTCCTATGTGATTTGATTTTTGTTCATGATCTCTTTGCCTACCCCTATGTCTTCAAGAGTTCCTCCTACTTTCTCTTCCAGGAGATTTAGTGTCTCTGCTTTAATGTTTAGATCTTTAATCCATTTTG